CACACACACACACACACACACACACACACACACACACACACACACACAAACAGGACAGGGAAGAATGCTTTTAGTTTTCTGTCAACTCAAGTAGGAGTCATCTGAGAAGAAGGACCCTCAGTTGAAAAAAATGCCTCCGTCATACTGCCCATGAGCATGTCTGTGGGTCACTTTCTTGACTGGTGATTGCCATGGAAGGGGGCAGGTGGTCCTGGGTTGTCTAAGAAAGCAGGCTGAGCAAGCCACGAGGGGCAAGCCAATGAACAGTGGTCTTCCGTGGCCTCTGCTTCAGTTCCTGCCTTGAGCTCCCTCAGTGATGGCCTAAGGTGACGACATGTAAGATCTTTCCCCCCATGTTACCTGTTGTTTATCATGGCAGTGGAAAGGAAACTAGACAGACAGATGGACAAGAGACGCTCTTTTCCTCGTGTGTTTATCTGCTTTAGAAAAACTGCTATAAGGGACTTTCTCTTCTCCTGAGGGGCAAACCCAGGGCCTCTGACATGCTAAGCAAAGTGCTACACCAATGAGCTTGCTCAGCTCTAACCTGAAGAGGAGCTGGAGAGATGGCTCAGAGGTTAAAAAGACTGGCTGCTCTTCAAGAGGACCCGGGTTCAATTCCCAGCACCCACATGGTGGTCTACAATCATTTGTAACTTCAGTTCCACGGGATCTGATACCCTCCTCCGGCCTCCACAGGTGCCAGGCATGCCTGTGGTACACAGACATATCAATGTGTGTGGGGGAATCAACCACTCCCCCCCCCAAAAAAACCATGCATATTAAACCAACAAACAAATAAATGCCAAGACAATCTCCTTCTGGTCTTACAATACAGAAATAATTTTTTCTCTCTCTCTTTTTTTTTTTTTTTGAAGTAGAAAACCATACAGCTCAGGTTGGTCTTGAACTTGTTCTGTGTGACCTGGGACTTCTTTAAACCACCACACCCAGTTTTACCTGATGCTGGGGTTGGAACCCAAGGCTTCATGCTTACTAGGCAGGTACTCTGCCAACCAACTGATCCACATCCCTAGCCCCAGGAACGTTTCTTGAGGGCTGTATAAAGGTCATTATCACAGAAGACAGTTGTGTGTATGTGTGTGTGTCCCACAATCTTCTGGGACTGCACTGCTTAGGTGCCTGGCTCTAAGCTGGAGCCTGCTGGCTGTCTTGTGATGTGAAAAATTTGTTTTTCCCTTTGAGTTAAAACAATGGACAACCAAGCATGGGCACCCTAAGTACTAGGTGGATTTATGAAGTGCCAGTGTGACAAATGCTGTCCCTGGCCCTCTTGCTTGAAGACAGAGGCCATTTATCTCGAGGACAGCTGTGCAATGGGCCATGTCCAGGAGACCATCTAACAGGGAGAGATCACTTTTCATCTCTACGGGTCTGGGTAGCGGGTGGCCCGTGGCAGCCTGCTTTAATACTTATTTGATGACAAAGCTATTACTGTCTTTCCCTTTTCTGTGGGGAATCACACGTTGCATTGACAGCTTTTATCTTTGATTATGCTTCAGACAGGGACAGGGCGATGACTTTGTCACAAAAGGATACTTACTGTGGGCGGAGGGGAACCTCTCCCGATGAGTGGCACGTTCTCGTAACGTGGGTTCCCGCCAAAGAGTATGGCCTGGTTCCTGTTGGCCAAGAGATTGGATATGTGTGTGTGAACTCATGATCATGGGAGCTGAAGGTAGTGGGTATGCTGGAGGGACTGTGGGTAGAACAATAAAGGAAAAAGACCTGGGCGTGGTGGCTCACACCTGTCATCCCAGCCCTTGGTAGGTTGAGGACAGCTTGGGTTACAGTGTGAGACCTGCCTCAGGGTGCAGAGGGAGTCAAAAGGAAAGAATACTCTAGGGTGGTTCTCAACCTTCCTGATGCTTCGACCCTCTAATACCCTCATGCTGTGGTGACCCAGAGCCACAAAGCTGTTTTTGTTGCTACTTCCACAACTGTAATTTTGCTATTGTTATGGGTTGTAACATAAATATCTGATAGGTGACCCCTGTGGCAGTCATGACCCACAGGGTGGGAACCAGTGCTCTAGGGGATCCAGGGAGGAGGCAGCTAAGAAGAGAGAGATGCCAGGAGAAGCACAGCTTGGAGAAATGCAGCTTCTCAGGCCTGGGATTGACCTGGGGGCTGTGGAGGGGTGACAAGATGCTCCTATCAGGCATTCTGGGCTACAGTCGGGAGATCAGGTTTGGTCCCCTCCCTTCCCCATGTTTCTGGGGAACAAACACTCTGTCTATAAATCCAGCCTCACTGCAGGGCCAAGAGGGGGCTATTGCTGCCCAGCCTGGGTGTGCAAGATTCAGAGGCCCTACTGTGCGTACATGTACTCAGAGACAGGGGCGTTGGAGATGGTCTGGGTGGGAGGTTGAAGGCTGCACTGGCTGCCAAGGCCGCTGCTGTAGCTGCAGAAACTGTGCAGTTGCCCCCTTGCGGGGTTATGGGCTGCGATGCGCCGAGCTTGGGGGTTGAAAGGGTCATCTTCGTCAATGTCATCATAGTCTCTGTCCCTAGAATGAGATGTAGAAGTCAGCTGGCCATTAGGGGTGAGGCTCAAGGCCATGGGGTCCTAACCTCTCTCCCTAGGATACGCTCAGGCCATATGGATTTCCTTCAGCATTTACAAAAGCATGGTCCTCAGAGGCACGACTTATTCCACCTGACCCCAATCCCACGCCCACCTCTTCCAGGCAGCCCACCATACTGGCTGCACACGAGGGGGTGGGAAGGCAGTCCACTCGCTCCCTCTTGTCCATCCATGAGGTCCTGAAATCCCACCTTATCTTTGTCTCTCCCCAGGGAGCCTGAAAATTCCATCTTGACAGTAATATCTTTGATCCTCCCTGTTATTTCTTGGGACCCCTCTCTCATTATGTCACCTTGCAAAGTCTTGCCTAGGAAGAAAAGCAAGGGCTACTGGGTGGTGTCAGGAGGGTTGTTGCCATCTTTGGTCCAGTTACTTTCGCAGGGATCTGTTTTAACTCTCAGGGAAATCCAGCCAGCCTGCTAAAGGCTGGATGATGGACCTTCTACTGCCCTCTTTTGTCTCAGGTGACCTGCTCATCGGTGTCCACTGCAGAAACCCTCCATATTGTTGGGATGGGGGTGGGCCCCGCCTTTCTGGTACCTTACCTGTTAATGAAGTGTTTCCAGGCACGAGGTCCGGCACAGATCAGGGTGGAGAAAGCCAGGGCAGCCAAGAGGGAGAAGAGAGCAAGGAAGAGCAGGCCCTCAATGCCATCATAGCAGATGCCAGTGAGGGCATCCAGGTAGTCCTGGGCAAACAGGGACATGTCATTGCAGAGGGATGGGTGGCAAAGCCTGGGATCTGAGCTCTTCTTTGGAAGCCCCTCTCCTCCCTGCCTGTATATAGAATCTCCTGGAAGCTTCCCATCCAAAGCACCTTCCCCTTCCTTTTAGGGTCCCCTTCTCTGGAGCTACCAGACAGTCTCCTTGGAACATGGATTTGCTGACTTCCTACTATGTGCCAGACACCAGAGGCTGACCTCAAACTAGACAGATGAGGTGGCGGCTAGTTGTAGAATTGAAAACAGGTTATACCCATAACTCTCTCATTTTTAAAAATGTTTATTATTTTATGTGTAAGTATGTATAAGTGTATATGATTTGTGTGTGAGTATGGGCATACATGGACCAGCACATGTGTTTATTCTAAGTCTATATGGGTTGTGGAAGGTGTTTACATATATTGGCTCGATGCTTGGGGATGCTCACACACCCTCAGTGACCCTTGCATCATTGTATATATATATATAAGGTTACATTTTTGGTCTGTCTGTCTGTTTGTTTGTTGAAGACAGAACCTCACTATGTAGTCCTAGCTAGCCTGGAACTCACATGAGATCCACCTGGCTTTGTCTCCCAAGATCTGGATATTAAAAGAATGTGCCATTCTATCTGGCTCCTGCCCACCTCTGTCTGTCTGTCTGTCTGTCTGTCTGTCTGTCTGTCTGTCTGTCTCTCTCTCTCTCTCTCTCTCTCTGAGACATGACTTCACTATACAGTGCAAGTGGTCTTAAATTCATGCTCCTCCTACATCCACCTCTGAGTACAAGCATGCATCAACATGCCTGGTACATTACATCCTGGCATGAGATTGAAGCGTTGACTTGCAAGATGGGGAGATGGATGGGTTTACCAGATGTCCAGGAGTCTAGGCAGTTGATAACTATATAGTCACCATTTAAATCAGGGTCTTCCAATGTTCTAAAACTAACCTGCTAGGTTCCTACCCTAAGTTCCTTTGATAGGGTACTCCTCATCAACCATCAGAGAAACCATGAAACGAGGCACCTCCTTCCACTTCCCCCTACTTGGCTTCAGCCTCACGTCTGGGCCTGAAGGGAGCTCAGGCAGTCCTTTTCCTAGGTCTTTGCTGGCTTCTCTCTGGGAAAATGTACCCTGCTGGTGTACCCCACACTCTCCATGGTTGGTCACCCAGTACCTTGTGCAGCCCCCGGCAATCCAACATGGCGGTCAACTGGTGCAGGCTAGTCTCAGAGTTGTTTAGCAGAATCTGGATGCCAAGAAGGTCTTTCTGAAGTAGGGAGAGGGAGAGAGACAGCGGAGTGAGCATCTGGGGAGGGTGTGCACACAACATTGGAGAGCCGCTGTGCAAAGAGGCCTTTGGATAGAAGGGAAGGCCTGAGCCACAGGGAAGTGATGGATGCACGGCTGCCAGAATGCTCACCCAATGGCTGGGGTACAGGTATGAGGGTGGCTGGGGGGGTGGGGTTCAGCGAGGGCTCCCTTTGTCCCAACACAGCTGCTGAGAATGACAGCTCCCTTACCTCTGCTGTAGGGAAGAGGGGCACGGCAAACTGCAGCAGGCCCACAATTTGGATCTGCATGGTGGTCAGTGAGCGCTGGAAGATGGTCAGTGACTGGGTGGAGAGACCACAGCCTTCCATGAGACTCCATTTCCCAGAAGTCCCACAGTTACCAGGAGGCTTTTCCTCCTATACCCACATTACCACCAGGCAAATATACAGGAAGGTCTGGGCAGGCTGTACACACTGTGAAGGGGCTTCTTGGACTTTGAAGGGAACAGGCATAATAAGTTGGATCCTATTGGTTTTGGAACACTGGAGGACCTTGACTCATAGAGAGAAGTTGTTCACCAGCATTCAGACCTCTAGCCATCTGGTCAACCCAACCACTATGGCATGAATATGTTCCTCCCACAACCCTTTAGCTTTTAAGAGTTCCACAGTCCTCATGCTTCTCGCTTCTCAGATGTGGTCCTCAGACAAACAGCATGGACCTTGCCAGGGAGCTTGTGAGAAATGCAGAGCCTTGGGGCTTGCCCCTACCTCTTGCCCAACACCAGCAGAGTAACCAGCTCTCCATGGTGCACTCATGGTGCACGCTCGTGAGTGTAGGAGACAGGGATAGAACGGAGTGACCAAGAGCAAAGCCCCCTTCAGAGATTGGCCAAAAGAGAACCACAGTGAAGCAAGGCCCAGGTGTCCACCATCTTGGTACATGGTGGGGTTCAGGGTCCAGAGAGAGGGAGATCCAGAGGTGAGGGGCTGTGGGATGGGTGAGGGTAGGCTTGGGTGGCTGTACCTGCTGGAAGGGGCTGATTAGGCTCTGACTGCAATGCAGGTAGTACCGGGTCACCTCTGCAAGGCAATAGCATCAGTGTCAGGAAGGTCAGAGGAAACAGACCCTCTGCCTGCTTCTGGTCCAGCCCACTCCCCTTTCCCTCAAGCTCCTAACAGAGACAGTTTTCTAGGGAGTAGCCCAGTGGTCGAGAAAATCCTAAATCTGGGGTAGGGAGATGCTATATGATTGAAGTCAGAGGTAAAGTGTAGCTAGTTGGATCATATGGGCGTAGTCTGAGCTCGGGGAATAAATGACTCTAGGGACAGCAGCCCCAGAGGACACTACCTGAGCTGATCTGGTTCTGTGTGTTGTTCAGGATGTAGATGTCAGGAGCCATGCAGAAGTCACTGGTGCCCTGTGTCATGGAGACAGGAGTGGGTAGAGGAAGGTCAGAGCCTCAGGCACTGCTGCCCTGGTCACTTTGATCTCTAACTCATTCTGGGGCAGAAGAGAGATCGGGAGCCAGACTTCTGGGTTTGAATCCTGCCTCTGTCCTTACCCATCACCTTGGGCAAGTTACTTGTTCTTTTTGTACCTCAGTGGTGAAGACATGACGACACTCTTCACCTTAGATATGACTCTATGTAAGGTTTTCTGGACTGTGACCTTTTATTTCTGAATGCTTTTTCGGTGACGGATACCCAGGAGGCTGGGAATCTTCGAGGCAGCCTGGGGGCAGCTGCAGGTGTCTGGGGTTAGGAGTCCTTTGCTCCTGGGCTTATTTGTTCTTTTAACTATCTTGCAACTATCAAGCTCTGCACACTCTGGTGGTCAGACCATCGAAGGTCTCTAACTTGTCACCTGCCCCTCCCCTCCTCTCCAAAAACAGGTCTAACTATATAGTTCGGCTGTATCAGAGCTTACTATGTAGATCAGGCTAGCCTGCCCTTTGCCTCCTGTGTGTTGGGATTAAAGGTGTGCAACACACACACACACACACACAGAGAGAGAGAGAGAGAGAGAGGGGGGGGGGGTCTGACTTGTCTTCTGAAGGGTGAGACTGGCACAGACTTCATCTTGGAGTCTTTGGGGCAGGTTTCTGTACTGAGACGAGACCAGGGACAGGGAGTCAATGGGGTAGGATTGGCTCCCAGCCTGGCTAAGTGACTCCTGAGGTCAGTGTGACTGAAGGAAAGAGAAGTGACCGAGGATGTTCTGAACCCAGATCTGACACTGCTGCAATGGAGAACTGGGGAAATGGAGTACCCCAACTTTCAGAGCAGCCGGGGTAAGCTCCTCCTCCTATGCCGCATACTAAGGGGCTACCCTGCTTCTCTTATCCCTGAACACAAGACTCCTTGAGGTGGTCCTGTAATAAGAGGCATACTCTGTCCGTAGGAAGCACCACCCCTTAGGCACCAAATTGATAGGTTTTGAGCTTTTACTAGGTACAGGTGCGGTTCTAAGACTGGTACTTGTCAAGGGTGTTTGTTTGTGTCTTGAGACTGAGAGTAGAAAATGTGTGTGTGTGTGTGTGTGTGTGTGTGTGTGTGTGTGTGGTGTGGTGTGGTGTTGGAGAGCAATAGGCTCCTCTGGATTCAAAACTTCTCCAGAGTATCCCAGCATTCATCTCCTCTCCCACACAGACACGCCCATCCTCCTCACAACATATGCAATCACCCACAGGCACTCCAGACCATGGAGAAGGGTTTTATATACAAACCACCAACATACATAATAAATCACTGCCCTATTATTATCATCAATAGAGCTGCAGCGCCAGCAGGCCTGGCGGCATCTCTCTCCCTTGGCTGGAGTGGCAGAGATGGGGAGCCAGGCTAGGGTTGCCTCGGTAGACAGAATAAGGCCACTGTGTTTAAGTCACACCTCAGGAAGACTAGGCTCCAAAGAGGGGGAACTAGGAACTTCTGCATGAGGCTTTACCAATGCCGAGACTTCTCCTTCTCTGCTAAGGCCAGGAGAGAAAGTGGGTTAAGATATCGTGGGGTCTATGGCTTGCTGTGAGAAGCCAAATCTATCCATCAATAAAGGTGACATACGTATGCACTTGTGCAGCTTGTGGGTACACATGCATCCCTGCATGTATGCATGTATTTGTCTGTACATTATTCGTTCAACAGCGAATGCAGTGGAGGAGAGGAGGAGAAGCTGTCCAGAGCCTGGCCCAGACTGAACCTGCAGGAAGTTCCTGATTGTTTGAAGCGGTTATCCTTGTGACTCTCACATGGTGAGAACTGTGTCAGCAGCCGAGATGGCTACTACACATTGAACAGTCACCACGTGCCCTTTGAGGCACCGGGTACTATTATTCTCCCCATTTTACACAGGAGAAAACTGAAGCATGGAGAACACCAGTAACTTTCCAGAGGTTCTGCTGCTAGGAAGGAATGAAAGGACGGCACAGCTAAGGCTGGGGGCTCTAGCAGCTATGCTCCTGCCTCTGACTCAGGAGGTGGGCCTGCTGCCCCTTAGGCCTGGATGTTCTGGGAATGTTCTGTCATGTCTGTTACAGCTAAAGCACTCATGGCGACTCCTTACCAACCTCTCGCCCTCTTCCTTCTTGGTATTGCCTCTCCTCGGCCCAAAGAGCCCCCAAGTGTGTCTGTGGCTCATTACTGACTACGCAGGGGGGACATAGGCCACAGGTCAGGAGGCTCTGATCTCGGTTCCCCAGTTCCCAACTTCCCTCTACTCAGCATGGCCTGGAACAGTCTCAGAAGTCATACTGTGGATGTCCCTGCCTGGTGGGCAGGTTGGGGGAAGGGTGATGGTGTGAATCTGGCCCCACTGCCCTCAAAAAAGGCCTCAGAGGGCAGGGTGGCAGGGGACGAACACAAAAGCCTAGCACAATGACCCCTTGACAGCTGGTGCCTTCCCTCAACCCCCACCCCCTGGCAGCTCCTCCATACCCCTTTTCCTATTAAAATGCTGCAGCAGCCTCGGCTCTGTCAAAGGCCCATTCAGTGCCCTCACGCCCGCCTCTCCCGCACAAGGGCCCAAGTAAAGGAATCAGGGAACTGGCATGGCTCCCAGCTCCCTGGCATTCTGCAGTACCCGGCTGCAGATAAAACGGCCTATCGGTTCCTCGGCAGGATGCTTGGTGGGAGAAGCCCTTGTTGGGAGGAAAGCCTGCTCCCAAGGGGGGTAGCTCACGGTGGCAAGCTGGATGGTACTGCTTCTTCAAAGGGCAAGAGGCTGCCAGAAGTGGGACCCGCCCCATAGCACGGAAAGCTTCCCTGCGCCTGCACTTGTCTCTGGAGGAGAGGCTGCCAGCCAGGCAGCTGTTCCCATCACTCTGGGGGATGGAGCCCCTCCCCACAGTGTTTACAACCTCCAAAGGCCACCAGGATGCTTTGAGCACAGCCTGGGCTCCAGCACTGTCTTTTTGCACCAGTCCTTGTATATGGTCACAGCATGAAAAGGAGAGATGAGAAATACTGATTTCCTCTCATTTCATTTGCTTTGGGATAGGAGCTCAGGTAACCCTTAACCTTATAACTCCTGTGTTTCTAACGCCTCCCAAGTGCTGGGAGGATAATGGGTAGTTTCACAACCGGTTGCTGCAGCGCTGAGGACTAAACCCAGGGCTGGGTCTGTGTCAGCAAGCACCTTATTTATTAACCAAGCATCCCCAGCCCTCCCTAGCCCCTGCTACAGTCCTGGAGCCCAAGCCTACAGCTCCTTACATACTAGGCAAGCGTTCTGCTACTGAGTTATGTTCCCAGTCCCACTCTCCTCCCCTGTAGGTCTATTTTACATGTATGAGTAGCATGCGTGTGTTTGTATGTGTATGCATGTGCGTGCATGTGTATGCCACCTGTGTGTCTGGTGTCCTTGGAGGTCAGAAGAGGACATCAGATCCCCCGGAACTGGAGCTCTGGATGATTACATGGCACCATATGAATACCAGGATGGGAACCTGGGTTCTCTGCAAAAGCAACAGGTGTTCTTAGCTGCTGAGCCAGCTCTCCAGCCTCCCTTTAAGACAGGGCTGTAGCCGGGCGGTGGTGGCGCATGCCTTTAATCCCAGCACTTGGGAGGCAGAGGCAGGCAGATTTCTGAGTTCGAGGCCAGCCTGGTCTACAGAGTGAGTTCCAGGACAGCCAGGGCTACACAGAGAAACCCTGTCTCAAAAAAAAAAAAAAAAAAAGGACAAGGCTGTACTAAGTTGATCAGACTGGCCTTAAACTCATTCTGTAGTTCAGACAGGCCTTTAATTTGTAATCCTCCTGCCTCAGTCTCCAGTATAACTGGGGCCATAGGTTTGTATCACCAGAACCGGCTCCTTAACACTTCTGAATAAGCCTCCATCAAGAGTGGCAGAGTCGGGCTGGAGAGATGGCTCAGTGGTTAAGAGCACTGACTGCACTTCCAGAGGTCCTGAGTTCAAATCCCAGCAACCACATAGTGGCTCACAACCATCTGTAATGAGGTCTGATGCCCTCTTCTGGTGTGTCTGAAGACAGCTACAGTGTATTCATATATAATAAATAAATAAATCTTTAAAAAAAAAAAAAAAAAAAAAAAAAAAAAGAGTGGCAGAGTCAGGTGGCACCAGGAGCCATTTATTCTGTGGGTTTGAAAAAAAAAATGCCCAAGCCATCCCCAGGGACACTAGGCCTGGTGTGGGTGGGGAAGAGCAGGTGCAGACCACAGGGTTGGCTACAGCCCTTACATCAGCGTGGTCCCTTGGTATCGCCTAGTGAAATGAGCCTTCCCCAGCACATGTGCAGCTGTGCGAGCATGCGTTTTCACACAGGCACATAGCAACACAAACTCACAGATACCTAGGGATTCACACCATGAGTGACCGTCACCAGGAAACACCATGTCCTTCTGTGTCCTGTAGCTCAAGGCACACAAAAACACTGCAACACCCCCCAGCTGAATGAATGGGCACTTAGGGAACTCAGCTCCAAGACCAAATGGTTTTTGGTAGGCTTTTGTTATTTAGTTTTGACATTCTTATATAAGAAGTCCCTCGCTTTTCTATAACATTGAGGAGCCACATTCAGAAGCACACACACACACACACACACACACACACACACACACACACAGTATGAGGGCGACCGGATTGCAGGGACAGAAGGTAAATGATGCCACCTTCTATGTACGTTCATCAAGCAGCAGGTAAAGGAGCAAGCTTTAGAACCCACTTGGCTTCCCTCAGGTCAGCACTCCATGCCCACACAGAAGCTACCTGGCTACCTTCGAGTTCTCTGCATGCCCAGACAAGCATGATGTCTCCTCTTGGCTCTGTCTCTGAAGCCCTGTAACTTCGGACAAACCTCTTCCTGTCTCTGAGCCTGAACAAAATGATCTAAGTCTCTTTAGTCCTGAGACTTTGGGATGGTGGGCAAGAGACTGAGCCCAAGCTCACCTGCCTGGGGTCTTTGAACAGAACAGGACAGATTGTCCTTGTCAGACCAGCCACCCACAGTCTCCGTCACTTACCACTGCTGCAGCAGAATCAGCAGCCAGGGAAGCCCAGCTGAGGAGCAGGGTCAGGATTCCGCAGCACAGCATGCTAGGAGAGAGGCAGACACTCTGGGATCTTTTCAACAGCAGTCATCCTACCTAAATTCAACACCCTTCCTCCCATACAGAGCCTCGTTCTCCCATGCCCTGAGCCCCACCGCCACCCCACCTCTGCTGAATGCTCAGAGAGGGCCATGGATTCCAGTCCTTGGGTTGAAGAGACCCAGCTGTGACAGCACAAAGACACACAAGGAGCCCTGCCTGCAAGGGAGCTGGGTGCTGAGGAGGGGCATCCTGACTCCTACTATTCTCACAGTGTGGCTATGCCTCCATCTCCCTCTGTAGGTGGCCTCTAGACCAACTCTGCTTCAGGACCATAAAGAGGGCTACTCACGAGGCTAGGAGACACTTGGAGCGCCTGGCCAGTCCCAGGCAGGTGACAAGGCAGATGACCAGGTCCAGGATGAAAAGCAGGAGGTAGGACAGCCACCTAGGTAGACACAAAGACAACGTGAGGGTGGGCAGAGTAGAACTGTCCACCTGCTGCTCTTGGGAGGCCAGAACAGTAGCCCAGACCAGTGGGAGCACAGACTGAGGGTCCTCCGGGGCTGGAGTAACCACACACTCATTTTATCTAGACGAGGCTGAACATTCCTACCCTGTGCCTTAACCATCTGGTGGAATATACTTAGGTCAGTACAGGGCACTAGAACTTTCCATCACGGTGGAAGACATCTACATTTTCTATCTGCCACTACTCACAGTCGCCTACTAAGGACCTAAAGAAAAACAAGCCTACTAAGAACCTGAGATGTGAATAATGCAAGAGAGAAAATGAAGCCGTGTATGGTGGCAGACACCTGGAATCCCAGCTCATGCGAGATCCAGGCCAGCCTGGGCTATACAGCAAACTTACTCGGCCCATTCCCACAAAGGATATGAATGTTTCAGTTTACTTAATATTACTATTTTTCACAATATTCAGGAACAAGTCCAGGGCCTTGTGCATGCTAACAAGAGGTCTGCCACTGAGATACATCCCAACCCTTCTGTCTAGGTTTTTTTTTTTTTTAAAGATTTATTTATTTTATGTGAGTACAGTGTACTGTCCTTAAGACACACCAGAAAAAGGCATCGGATCCCATGACAGATGGTTGTGAACCACCAGGTGGTTGCTGGGAATTGAACTCAGGACCTCTGGAAAAACAGTCAGTACTCTTAACTGTTGAGCCATCTCTCCAGCCCCTGCCTAAGTTTTTTTTGTTTGTTTGTTTTTTCGAGACAGGGTTTCTCTATGTAGCCCTGGCTGTCCTGGAACTCACTCTGTGGCCTCAAACTCCGAAATCCGCCTGTCTCTGCCTCCCAAGTGCTGGGATTAAAGGCGTGCGCCACCACTGCCCGGTTCCTTGCCCAAGTTTTAATAAGCTCTGACATACGTGGTTGGAGGCGTCCACAGTGGAGCACATGGCTGTTTCTGCAGCTCCCATCTCCTCTGCTCCCCTCAGAGAACAGATTTAGTAAGGCCTGACATTACAGTCCCAGATTGGAGAGGCCCCCTTCTTTGATGGATATCTGTCTGTCTTCCCCAAGGCCTCCCATCTTGGCCATCTAGCCTGTGGGCAACACACAGTGTAGTGTGCAGGGGTTTCTTCAACCAACACTTGTGCCAAGATCTGAGCTGGCTGTCAGGGTGCCTGTGTGAGAGGATCGCTCTTGACTATCAGGGAATTCAGATGGAGCCGGGGTCAGGATATCCTGGTGTTCATCCAACCTCTAGACTCCCTGTAGAGCTTCTGGAAAAAGCCTGTCCTATGCCAGCTAGGGACTTGCATGCATCTTTTGTCACTTTTTAAAGACAGGGTCTTATATAATTCCAGGATGGCCTCACACTGAATATGTAGCCAAGGATGACCTTTAACTTGTGGCTCTTCTGCCGTCGCCTGCCGCATGCTGGGATTAGGGGCGTGCACCACCACAGGTCTATGTGGTGCTGAGGACCAGATCTTGGGGTGTAAGTAGGCCACGATGGAACTGGAAGGAAGTGGCAAGGAGCTGAGGTAGATGGAGCAAGCTGGAGGTCCCCAGAAGCCAAACAAGATGCTATCTTTGTGAATGGAGGCTTGATGCTTAAAAGCGGGGGTTTAATCGAAACCCTCAGCCCCCAAAACAGAGCGGCAGCTACTTCACAGCAGGTCTCTGGGGTCTCAGAAATGGGGCTGCAGCTTTGGCACATGGATAGAGCTGGCTTGTCACTTGCTGGAGGCCACCAAGGAGCCAGTTTTCGTAGAGTCAGAGTTGAAAGGAACTTTGGGATCTATCTAGTGTTACGCCCTATGCTATATGCTATAGATTAGAAAATGGAGGAACCTCTACATTTTCCTTCCTTCTAGGGACATAGGTCCCCCCTACCCCAGGCACCGTCTAAAACATGGGTTCCGTGCTCCCAACCTAAAGACTGGTTGTTCCTTCTGCTTCCTCTCCCATCTGTAGGAAATCCAGATACAGAAGGGCTCCTGACCCCTCCACAACTGTGCTTTCACAATTCCCGCAGCAACTGCTGCGTGTGTAAACTGTTCCTAGAAACAGCTCCTGGGCGGATGTGTTCTCCCAGAGGAGCCCCTGGGAACTGGGGGGAGGGAGTTCTCACTATGAACTTGGCTCTTGTCTGCTGAGCTAATGCTGCCGGTTCACCCCCCACACCCCACCACATCCGGCATCTGTAAGACAGTATCCACATCTCAGCCCCAGGCGGTAAGCCTTGGCTTGTTACATCTTCTGAGCTGGATGTGTCTCCCCAGTAAAGTGTTCTGATGGGAGTGGATGGTCGGGATGAAAACTGCCGGAAAGCCTTTCTGAGAAGGTTCTCCAAGAAGCCCGTGAGCTACAGACACTGGCAGAGATGGCCTTCGGCATTCGGGAGCTGCAGGGGCCTGCTCAGATGATTCTCACTCCTTAACGTGACCTGGGTTAAGAAGCGTAAGATCCTTCCCAATTTCATTACGGTCTTTACTAAAATGCCCACTGGATCAGCCAGACACACACACACACACACACACACACACACACACACACACACACACAAAGAGCTGTGTCAATAAGGACACCCACCACCACCACCACCACGGATACCCCACTGGCCCTGATGTGATTTCAAGGGCTCAGGAAATGAACAGCCCCCACATCTAGGGGCTCATCAGATCCCGCTGTTGAGGGTCCCAGGTGATGGCAGACCATCTCCTCAGAGCTGACAGTTCCTTTTGGTCCCCTGGGAGGATGGCATTTTTGCCTGTGAGGATCTGAGAGAAATAACACCAAGTACTCTGTCTATTTGGAATACCTATGACATCAAGGAAAGTCGATCTGTGGGATGAGGGATGGGAGCACCACCTTGGATCCCAGAGCACTACCCAGAGAGCTCAGGACCTGGTGAGTTCATCCCTTTGGAAAAAAGAGTCCGAGGGGAAGAGGCCTTGAGCATTTCCTTTTGACTCAGCCCAGCATCGGCCTCCTGGGTGGGAGTTGATGATAGAATAGAATACTAATCCAGGAAACCAAGAATGTATTCTGTAATGTTGGGGCAGAGGCTCGGAAGAGGGGCCAAGATATTTGGGCAAGGAAGGGATTCAAAGAGCTGAGGCTTGTCATGCAAGACTGACATACTTGTTCCATCCTGTGTCTAAGATACTGACCCTTTGAATACAGTGATGTCTGTGTCACACATGATACACGCATATTCCATGGGCTCACGTTACCATTTGGATGAAGGTCAATCTAGGACAGAGAGAGCTGCCTCCTTTCTTGGCTCTCAAAAGTGTTCCTTCTGAGACCCTATATGCAGAAGGGGGGTAGCCAGTCTGGGGTCTATGACTTGAGTTTAGTGACTTTACCAGGGATGGGCTGACAGAGGGACACAAACATATGCCACCAGCCGGATGAGCCAGAGACGGTTTGGATGCCTAAGTGAGGTGGTCTGGACTGATCCTGTCCACTTTGGAGACCTAGAATCACCTAGGAAACAAATCTTTGCACATGTCTGAGAAAGGTTTAAGAAAATCGTGTACATGTGCCTATGTGTGTGTGTGTCTGTATGCACACGGGCGTGTCACACAATGTGACAGATCAGAAGACAGCGTACAGAAGCCAGTTTTCTCCTTGTATCATGAGGGGTCTTGGGTTGAACTCAGGTCGTCAAACTTGGTGCCAGAGGCCTTTGTCAGCTTAGTTATTTCAACAGTCTAAGATTGTCTAGGTGGTGTTAATTGAGGTGGTACTCCGGCTGGTTTCATGTCCACTTGACACAAGCTAGAGTCACAGAGAGGAGGGAGCTTCAGTTGAGAAAATGCCTCCATAAGATCGGGCTGTAGGCGTTGGCGGTGGTGGCACACGCCTTAAATCCCAGCACTTGGGAGGCAGAGGCAGGCAGATTTCTGAGTTCGAGAGTTTGAGGCCTGCCTGGTCTACAGAGTGAGTTCCAGGACAGCCAGGGCTACACAGAGAAACCCTGTCTCGAAAAACCAAAAAAGATCGGGCTGTAGGCAAGCCTGTAGGGCAGTGGCTCTCAATCTTTGGGGGTCTCGTATCAGATCTCCTGCATATCAGATATTTACATTAAGATTCATAACAGTAGCAGCATTACAGTTATGAAGTAGCAAAGAAATCATTTTATGGTTAGGGGTCACCACAACATGAAGGAAATGTATTAAAAGGTTGCAGTATTAGGAAGGTTGAGAACCCCTGTTTCAGGGCATTTTCTTAATAATCGACATGGGAGGTCCCAGCTCCTTGGGGATGGGGCCACCCTTGGGTTGGTGGTCCAAGGATCTGTAAGAAAGCAGGCTAAACAAGCCATGGGGAGAAAGCCAGTAAGCAGCACCCTCCATGGCCTCTGCATCAGCTCCTGGAGCTTCCTGCCCTGCTTGAGGTCCTGTTCTGATTTCCTTCGATGATGAACAGTGATGCGGAAGTGTGAGCCAAATAAACCCTTCCCTCCCCAGGTTGCTTTTGTCTTGGTGTGTCATCCCAGCAAATAGAAACTCTAACTAGGATACTAAGTCAGGTGGGAAGAGGCGACGGATAGAACGGAGGAAACTGAACACCAGCTCCTGCTGCCATGTCTTTCCCACCAGGATGGACCACACTCTAACTGTAAGCCAAAATAAACTCCTATTCCTTCCTTAAGTGTCTGTGTCAAGATATTTAGTCACAGCAATAAGAAAAGTACACAGTAGGTGGGGTAGAGGAGAGGTGGAGCCCCTCAGCACTTCACTGTTCAGTGAGGTTACACTGGGTGTTAGGGGGTGGCTGGGTCTGCATCTGTAGCCTCACTCTCCCCCGCCGGTTCCTCACCTGTAGTATTCCACATAGGCAGTCCGGTGGGACAGTTCAGTCAGCTGTGTGGTGACCCCCCTCCACACGGGCAGCCCCGAGAGCTGGTTGACAATATTGCCTGCCATCTGTTGCATAAACTTCAGGGTCTGGATGTAGTCACCCCGAGCGGCAAAGATCTCGCTGAGCCGGGCCAGGTGCTGTTCTAGGTCTACCTTCATCTTCTGGGTGTTTCCAGACACCTGGGGGAGGTAAGGAAGAGGTTAGGAGTCTGGCTCTGGGATAGCCCTGAAAAGTCTGAGGAGGAGGAAATAGCAATTAGCCAGCTGGGCTTGAAGGGTATGCTCGAGACTGATACAGACCCAGGGACTCATGAGACTGCTGCCCCAAGAGGGGTGGCCAAGGACAGAGGCCTTGTCGCCTGCCCTCTGCCATCTTGTGGGTCTGGAATGTTCCCCAAAGAGCTATGTTAAAGATCCTGGGAAATGGAAGAATGCTTAAGAGGTGGCTAGGACTGTAACAGAACTTCAGGTCATCGAGGGGTACCCTTCCTCAAAGAAGGCAGTTTTTTCTTTTCCTTCCTTCCTTCCTTCCTTCCTTCCTTCCTTCCTTCCTTCCTTCCTTCCTTCCTCCCTCCCTCCCTCCCTCCCTTCCTTCCTTCCTTTGTTTGAGACAAGTTTTCTCTCTGTAACCCTGACTATCCTGGAACTTGCTCTGTAGATCAAGCTGGCTTTAAACTCACAGAGATCCTCCTGCCTCTGCCTCTTGGGTACTGGGATTAAAGGCATGCACTACCACTGAACACCGGGCTGACACTGGAATTCTTCCTTTGCTTCTGTATACAGCACAGTGAGCAGCCCTGCCTGTCCCCCTGTATCCATTTCCCTAGTGCTGAGGTTTCAGGAGTACAAACCTTTGTTCTTTATAAGTTTGTTGATCTCGGGGATTTGTTACAGTGCTGGAAAGCTAACCCATGGACACACACAGCCCAGTTTCTCTTATCTGTAAACCCAAATCTTTTTAATCACCTAGCAGTAAACTATACAGATAACTCCAAATATAAATTCCAAACTCCAAATTCTGAAATCCCAAACACCTTTGGCCTCCTGAATTTCAGAGAGGAAGGCTGAACCTGGACTCCAAATAGGGAACCGAAGGAATCCATTTTTCTTCGGTGAACCTTCTCCTAATGTTTGAATCCCCTGAGATCATGACATCAAAGACCTAGAGCCCCAGGCTGCTGCTTGTGCTTTAGTCCAGTAGGGTTTCCAGGCGCCCTACAAGAGAGGGGGTTTGTCTCCGAGCTGGAATCAGCTTGTAGTGTCCCAACCACAAGTCAATGCAGAACAATGGGGCCTTGAAAACAGAGAACAGATGTTGTCTTCTCCCAGCCTGGCCCTGGGACAGGAGGAGGAAATCAGTTTTATCTTGGGCTCACGTCTCCCAACCTCTAGGATGTCTGTCCTGCTGGGTGAGTATAGAGGCACCTGTCCTTTGCCTGGACTGAAAGAACATCTGTCTATGCAGACAGAAATGAAAAGTGGCTGAGGGTGTCCTTGACAGCTCCTTAACAAGGGGCAAGGTGTGGCTTGATCTGCAAAGGTGAATCTCACGGAGCCACAGCCACAGCCCTACAGCTGTCTGAGCAGAGTCTGAGTGTCAGCAGTTAGAAAAGAAGGGCTTTGTTTCTGTTTTATTTTGCTTGCAGTCAGGGTCTCACTAATTGCCCAGGCTAGCCTGGAACTGGCTATGTAGTCCTGGTAGATCTTCAATCTGAAATTATCCTGCTCCAGCCTCTGGAACAGCTGGGCCAACAGGACTATGCTACCAGGGCCTGGCTTGCTGCTTTGACACTGTCATACATAAACAGCTAGAAGAAGGGCAGGGTGCCTTGTTAATTCTTACCCACCAGCCTTGGCTTGAGGAGATAGAAGCCATGGGTTAGGTGAGTCATTAAAACACCCTGAGGGCTGGCCAATTGGAGTGAAGAGCAGCCCAGATGAAACACAGTAATTACTGAGTTATCAATAGGAAAGTAGATTCTAACAGCACAGAGGGTAGATATCTGCCCAGCTCTTGTGCTGATTAAAGCTTATTGTAAATATAAAGGTTGTGTCCAGGAGACGGTCAAAGGCAGGGTAGAAACCCTGGATTGGGATTAAAATTGTCTACAACAATGGCTTCCACGGCCTGCAAGAGAAAACCCCAGAAGTGGGCACAGCAATGAAGCCCACAGGAAAGCACTCTGAGCTTGGGGAATCATGGGAACTCCACATCAAGGCTTTTCACTCCTTCCCTACACTGTGACTTCCTGATTCTAGATCAGACAATGGCTCTCTGTTCCTGTGTGTGTGTCAGCATCTCTTCCGTTTTCTGTCTTCTGTTGGGTTCTTAGGAGGTAGTGACAGATGTAGAGACACCAAGATATAGTCAGATTATGACTGGGCTTGCTGGCTCATGTCTGTAGAATCCTAACAACTGGGAGGCTGAGGGAGGAGGATTACCTTGAAGTCGAGGCCAGATTGACTACAGATGAGCTCTTATTTCAAAAAAAAAAAAAAAAAGCCCTCTCTTGCCTGGAGGTGGGGGTGTACACCTTTGGAAGGCAGAGGCAGGTGGATCTCTTCAGAATGAGTTCCAGGACAGCCAGGACTCCACAGAAAAAGTTTCAAAAAACTAAAAACAAAACAAAAGGACAAGCCAAGAATGGACAGGTAGCTCATTTGGTAGAGTGCTGGCCTAGCATGCAGGAGGTCCTGACTTAGAGCCAAGGCATCCAACAGATTGGGTGTTGTATTGAACTCAGCAGTCTGAGGCAGAGAGACCAGGAGTTCAAGGTCATCCTTGGCTACACAGGGAGTTTGAGGCTAGCCTGAGCTATCAATGACTCAAAAACACAAACATAGAGAAAAACAAGTCCCTCCCACAAACAAACAAAACCCCAAGGGGGGGAAAAACAGAGAAGATTGTAAGGAATAGCCAGGTGTAGCGGCTCACAGCCTGGGCTACATGGAGAATTCCAAGACAGTCAGAGCTTTGTCAAGAGACCATGTGTTAAAAAAACAAAACAAACAAACAAAAAAATCAGAGAATAGGCCAGGCATGGCGTCCGAGGCCTGAATTCTGAAAGCTCAGGAGGTCAAGGGAAGAGGATCAGGAGTTCTAGAACAGTCTGGGCCACATAGCAACACTTTGAATGAGAAGAAAAAAGAAAAGAAACCACAAGACAATAAACATCTGTCAAGTCTGTTTTTTTTCCTTCTGGTATTGTTTCACAGGAAGAGATGATAGATACATGCTAGGTAGACAGACAGACAAACAGACAGACAGACGATAGAACACATCACAGCAATGGCCTCCCTGTAGAGCTCCGTGCTTGTTCACATGGTCTCAGTCCTTGACTTTCAAGAAGACAGGGGTGATGCCCCTGAGATGGACTGTAGCTTTATCTTGGGAACTGAAAACAGGAACAGCTCAGCTCTTCCACCAGGTGGGTACACAGGCCAGATAGAGAGTCATTAAGGATAGGGGTGTGTAGCTTTCAAATGGGTATACAGGCCAGAAAGAAGGTCGTTAAGGATAGGGGTGTAGCTTTCAGCTTTCAAATTGCAGTCCCCAGGCCAGTAGCATCATTAAGGAGCTCATTACAAATGCAAACTTTCAGCTTGCTTGGGAAGGTAAACTGGAGCCCAGAAGGGTGGGCCAGCGCCCTGGGCTAACAAGCTCACTAGGAGATTCTGACGCAAGCTGAGCCGGATTGAGAACCTCTGGGAGGGATCAGTAGGTCACGCGTGGAGCGGGTCAAGAGGAACACCGTCTCGATTCAATGAGGTAGTGGGAGGGGAAGGACCTGAGGCCTGGGTCTCAGTTTCTCCATTCGTCAGTTTCCCTACTATGGGCTCAGGATGGTGGGGGTTTCTAGCCAAGAGAGGAGTATCCAGAGGGTCCCTGGATTTGTGTTTAGGGGGCCCTGGAAAGGCCTCTAGTTGACCATCTGGCTGCTAGATCTGGGCTCCAGCAGGGCCCAGCTTTAAGATCCGGGATGCTGGGTGAGTCTCCATCCTGACTCTGCCACCCACAGCCTCCCACAATCCGAGCACCTCCACTTCACAAGGATTGCAGTAATTATTATAATGACACCATTATCTTAATGCCCCAGGGAGAGGGCACTCTATAGTTTACCTGGCACTGTTGGGTAATTCACCCGATGCCATTTACCTGCAATTTGGACCCCACCCCTTGGATGAGGGGGAAGGCCCTATAAGGATCTATCATCTCCCTGCAGTCTCAGGCCTGGGACTGTTGAGTACCCACCTTGAGGCCTTCCCCACCCTATCAGGTAAAAAGGGCAGATGCTTCTGTAGCTGGCAGCCCCACCAAGAAGCCCCGGGGACAATTATCCTACAATGCAGCAACAGCCAGATGGTAAGGGCTGTCTCCAGGGACAGGGTGAGGGTGAGGTCACGAAGCCCAGTGTCCAAACCTGGCTCAGAGCTTGTTCCTAGATACCAGCAAGTTCCTCCCCCCAACCCCCATCCAGAGATAAAGACTGAGTTTTCCCATCAGTGAAGGTCACAGCTCTGGGTCTTTCCAGCATGCCGACTTCTCCCACTTCCAAGGCTGAAGGTGGCTGCAGATAGAGAGACAGTGCAATGCCAAACAGGCAGAAGGCGTCCTTAGGAGCTTGGTCCCCATCAGGACTAAGGTGAGTAAGAGTGAGTTCCCAGGGGCTACCTTCCACAAATACTGAGCAGTACACACCCTGAGCAGCATAGCCTGCTTTTTAAGGTAAGAAGAGTTCCTGTCCCGCCCCCCACCCCCTCCCCCAGGAGCTGATGGAAGGATTAGATCCCCAGAGAAGCTTAAAGGAGCATGTGGGGTGGGGCAGATGAGGTTGAGTCCTCCCTAGGAGGATGCCAGGTCACCAGTTCCTCGAGTTAGGGCTGGCAAATCAAATGTGCCTTTCGCTGGGACCTGTGCTATTCGGAAGAGACCTGGTCTACAGAGGGTCAGATGCTCAAGGTCTAGTTTCCCTGAAATATGCATTTGGCCTTTCCCATCAGATTCCTCAGGATACACCAGGAGCTGTCACCAGATCACCTAGAAATTCAGCAGGAAAGACTGGCACTCCGCAAAGGTGACAGGCAGGCAGAAGCTGGGGATGAAGAGATGAGCCCTGTGTAGCCCTGGCTGTCCTAGAACTCACTCTGTAGACCAGGCTGGCCTTGAACTCAGAAATCCACCTGTCTCTGCCTCCCAAGTGCTGGGATTAAAGGCGTGCGCCACCACCGCCCGGCTCTTCCATTGTTTCTAAAGACTTCTTTTTTTTTTAATTACTTAAAACATTATTTTTTGTCAGGGCCTGTAACCACCATGCTTGGTCTCCAGGTTCTTTTCCCCCTTTTGATATATGGAACAGAGCTCTGTACAAAGCACTTAGAGCTAACATAAAAACAAAAGCCATGTTCAGGACTGAGGAAGTAGCTCAATTGGTAGAGCGATCACCTAGTATGTATAAAGCTTGGGGTTCAGACCCCAGCACTGCACATCCAAGGCACTGGATGCACACGTGCACATAAGCATCAGGTCATCCTCTGAGACCCGGTAGAGAGCTCAAGGTCAGACTCTGTCTCAAATGAGCAAACAACCCATGCCCAGTATGCTAGGGTGGCAATGTTTCATCATGGAAAGTTCCAGGTGAGTCTGGTCTACACAGTGGGTGCCAGGCTAGTCAGGGCTACACAGCAAGACCTCTTACTTAAATACAATAACAACAACAGAACAACTCCAGAACCCATGTTTGAGGTCTCCTTCAGGGATAGGTAAGTGCTCAGATGTTCTGCAGACTGCCCAGGGTCTGATGGGGGTTGAGCTGCCCTGAAACCTCCCTTGGCCTGGGACATAGAAACTGTGTTTGTCTTTGGCAGGGTAACAGCTCAGAAGGCAGCCTGGCCCACAGCGTCCCTCACACAACTCGACAGGGTGCAGCTGGGCCCCTGAGAGCTGACTGGCACCCTTGTTCTGGCCTTGCTGATCTCATGGGCTGTCCCTGTGCCCAGCCACCTGCCCACAATCCTTACCAGCTCATCCATTCCAGAGAAGGTGTGGTTCGAGTTGTCCAGGGAGTAGATCAGCTGGTGCACCCCATCGTTGGTCTCGCTGTTTCCATAGAAACCAACGCCCACTGCAGCACTGCAAGCAAAACCCCAAACAAAGGTTAGGGGTGATACCCAGAAGAGAATGCACTTCTGTGCTACTTGTGTGTGAGATATGCAGCGTGTGCTCACATGTGCATGTGCACAAGGCGCCCAGAAGATGATGCTGGGTGCGTTCATCTGTCGCTGTCTGCGTTACTCTCTTGGGACAAAGTCTCAGTGAACCTGGAACCATCTCTGGTTTCCATCCCTAGCACTGGAACTACAGATGTGTGGGCTTTTTCCGTGGGTGCTGGGAATCCAAACTCAGGTAGGTCCTCACGTCTGTCTGTACAGCAAGCACTTTATTCTGGATTTCCCATAAGTACTGTCAGTCTACGTACTGAGGACTGAACCCAGGACTACAGGTGCACCAGGTAAGCAATCTATTACTGTGGTACAGACCCAACATTACACTAATTATTTTAAAAAAGGTTTCTGTAGCCAGGCAGTGGTGGCATATGCCTTTAGTCCCAGCACTTGGGAGGCAGAGCCAGGCAGATCTCTGCGAGTTTGAGGCCAGTAACAAATATATACAAATAAATATTTGTATAAATATACAAACGAATACATTTTTAGGGTTGTAGAGATGGCTCAGTGGTTAAGAGCACTGGCTGCTCTTTCAGAGGTCCCTACTTGTTTCCAGCATCCAGACAGCAGTCCACAACCATCCTAAGCTAGTTCCAGGGGGATCTGACATACTCATTCTGCTCTCTAAAGGTCCTGTACGCACATAGTGCCTGGACACACATACAGGCAAACCATCCATACATATAACATAACGATTAAATAAATCTTAAAAAAATATTTTTTTTAGAGTGGTTTTAGGTTCATAGCAAAATTGAGCAGGTGCAGAATTCCTCCTTTTGTGTTCAGTCCCCGGTATGACTTCCTTTATGAAGCAGAGTCCTGGCTACGACTGGTAACCCAGTAGGAACATGGGTGCCGTCCAAGGCCCAGTGTGTACAGGGGTCACTCTCTGGGTTAAAATTCTAGGTCTGGACACAGTGTAAGATATCCACTGTCACAGCAGACCCTGCCCTAAAACTCTCCTGCACTCTGCCTACTCCTCTCCCCTCTCCCCCTTCTCCAACCCCAGGCCTTATAGTCTCCATGGCTTTTTCTAGAATGTTCTACAACTGGAGTCATAGCATCCAGCCTCTCCCCATTAGGATCAGGTCATTTGCCTTAGTGACGGACATTCAAGGTTCCCAACGTCTTTCAGGGCTCAATAGGCCATTTCCTTTTCAGCACTGCATAATATTCCACTGTCTGAATATGTGTGTGTTTATTTATCCACTCAGCTACGGAAGGGTACCTTTTACTTGGTCCCAGGTTTGGGGAATTGTGAATAAAAGCCACCATAACAGCCGCAGTGTGGGCTTTTGACTTTCGCTGAGGAGCTTTTAGTTTGGGACTTGGCATGAGGGAGATATTGTCTAAGGGTGATGGTTAAGGACCACCCAAGGTGACCCAGCAGAAGCCTGCTTGTCCTGGCTGGCGACGAACTTCTGAAAGACACACAACTGCAGGTAAGCTTGGGGATTAGGATTTGGTGGCTCTGGTAGAGCCTTGACATCCGATTTGACACACTCAGTGCCAACCTAAAGGTCCCTCCAGACAAGACCAACGACTCTCCCAGACTCTCACACTCTGTTTTCTCTAAATATTCCAGATCTGGTCCTCTACTGGGAAGTTTTAGCTTCTGGCAAGTTCCCTCTTACAGAGCTGAAAGGACACCTGCCTGCTTCATTTAACCCAGAGTCTGCCTGGTCCTTAACCAGCTTTTGGGTGGCTGGAACAAATCTCCAATTCTGCCACAAACTGCATCTGATATCTCTAAGTGTCCCCTTTGTCACCTCCTGCCTTCTGCTCTCGGAGACAGACACACGAGACAGGGTCTCATGTGTCCCCAGCTGGGCCTGACGCTCCCCAGATAGCTGAGGATGACCTTGAACTCCTGACCCCCTGACTGGTTTCCAGTGTTACTCTTTAGTTGGGACTGAGCAGTGTGGGGAGCTCCCCCCCCCCCGTGTGTGTGTGTGTGTGTGTGTGTGTGTGTGTGTTTGTGTGTTAATGCTCTCAGACCCTCCCCCCACTGGCCTGCCCTCCTACCCTCACTGACATCATAGTCAGTTAACGTCCCCTCCCAGGATTTTCTCCTCAGGAACTGTCAAGCTTAGTCTCTCCTCTTCCCTACTGATTTTAACCAAAAGCCAGACTTGAAATCCATCTGTATGAAATGTCATGGTTGGCGTGACTCCAACATTCCAGCCTGGGTAAATCATCTGCAACCTTAACTCTGTCATCCCTGTGTGGTCCACCCCTCCAGGGCCAATCACAAGGCCAGTCAACCAGTTTCCCCAGCTCTCGTCTGTAACACTAACTCGGGAAAAGTGTGAGAAGGCACACGCACACACACACATGCACATGCACACACACTGATGTCTTCCCTTCCTTTCTTCCCTCTCTCTCTCTCCCTCCCTCCTTCTTTTTCTCTCTCCCTCCTTCTCTCCCTACCTCCCATCCTTCTCTCCTCCTTGAGACAGTTGTAGCTTGGTTGTCCTGGGCCTCAATTACCACCATGCCCAGCTTCAGTCAGTATTGTTAGCACTCAAGCAATCAGAACCCACGTTGAGTCCACTTCACTGCACCATCACTCCGTCCATCCTTCTCCAGTGTCACTGGAGGTGCCATGTGCACACACAAAACATTCACATGGGAAAAGCATGCTTTAAAAAACAAGGCAGCCAGGCAGTGGTGGTGCACGTATAATCTCAGCACTCAGGAGGCGGAGGCAAGTGGATCTTTATGAGTTTGAGGCCAGCCTGGTCTACAGAGCAAGTTCCAGAACAGCTAGGGCTACACAGAGAAACTCAAAAAGCAAAACAGAATGAAGAGATCTGGCTGCTCTTCCAGAGGACCTAAGTTTGATTCCCAGCAGCCACATGGTAGCTCACAACAGTTATATGTAACTTCAGTCCCAGAGGCTCTAGCACCTTCTTCTGGTCCCCACAGCAGCAGGCACATATGTGGTATACAGACACACACTCAGGCAAATACCCACACGTGAAATAAAGGGATTAAAGGTGTGAGCCACCACTACTGTCTGCGATGGTTCTACTTGGATGCTGGATTAACCAGCATTAAACGGTTACTGCATTTATACCTGACAACAGGCTTGTCTGCAGCAGCCCTATGTAGGAGCACCTGCAGTTTTCTGAAGATCACTGCATCAGATCAAGCACTGCTGCTGTGTGTTTAGAGTGTCACCTTCCCTGGCCATTCTGAAATGCCTCACTCCAGGGGAGAGGGCGTTTAGAACCCTATTTCTTTATGGGAGTTTGGGAGTCAGATGGCTCTTTGTCACTCCCATGGGGCTGAAACTCTTTCCTCTAGGACCTGGCTCCAGCTCCAAGTTTCACCAGTCCCCCCCCCCCCCCACACACACACACTTGCTTCGAGGATGGCCTATCTTTTGGCTTCAGTAAGCCCCACATTCCCAGCAAGAGGAGATCATGAACATGTCGCCGCATTCCATCTTGGCCAAAAGGCTGAGAAACAATGAATGAATAAATTGTAATGGGAAGATATGAGCTGCATGGGGATGCGCACGCCTTTAATTCCTGTATTCTGGAGGCAGAGGCAGGCAGATCTCTTAGTTCAAAAGCCACCCTGGTCTACAGAGTAGGTTCTAGGACAACCAGGGCTACACAGAGAAACCCTGTCTGAAAACACCAAAAAAGAAGAGGAGGAGGAAGAGGAGAAAGGAGGAGACGAGAAGGAAGAGAAAGAGAAGGAGTGAGGGGAAAAGGGAGAGGGAGAATAAGAAAAGAAAAAAGAAAGGAAAGAAAAAGAATGTTCAAGAGTAAGGTGACTCTTCTGCAGAATGGAACCAGGACCAGTCCTTCAGACAAACAGCAAGGGCCTCTTACCCTAGAGGGTAGCCACACCCTTCAACACCTCTAAGGGACACTACAATTTAGGAAAAAGTCTTACAGATATAGAAACAAGAAAAATAACACCAACTGCAGCACACAGAGCTAACACATTCAGGGCTGGGTGCTGGGTGGGTGGGGTGCTCACACAGTGCTGGCAAGCCTCATTCCTCAGTCAGAGTGCAGGGGAAGATCTATCTATGGGCAGTACTGGGGGACTGGGGCCAACTTCTGATCTTGCGGACCCTGGGCAGCCATGGAAGCTGACAGTGGTGTAGAGGAAAGAAATGTCTGTTGTCCACCTGGTGAATTGAAGAGGGACCCATGTGGCTGTCAGGCCTGGTCCTGGTCTCATAGAAGTGTTTGGGGGGGCCACTATGTCCCATCACTGCACTAGAGACAGATTCCCCATGCTTGGCTAAGAAAAGGACAGTGTTCATTTTGGGCGACAGGTTGTTCTTCCAGGTGTTAGTCTGGAGTGAACGTCACTAGATACCGATGAGCCGCATGGACATGAAGAATGTCCTGGTCACAGGCTAGCTTTCCCTGTACATAGGACACTCACCAGCAGAGGAGCCCAGCCACCACCGCAGTCCAGGTCACACAGCATGAGTCGGGCTGCTTGGTCTGCATCGAGTGGTCCCGCCGACAGCAGCATGTGCACACCAGGTAAACAGCGAGGAAGATGAGGTTCAGGCCCAGGCCAATGGCAGCCAACACCCCCAGGAAGAGCAGCGACTGTAAGAGAGGCAAGCTGTGTCAGCTTCTGGCCCAGCATGGAGATGGTGGTGGGGTGGGGAGTGGGGAGCCCTAGGAACTGCAAAATATCCTTATGCCCAGTCCTCTAGACAGCCTGCCCTACATCTGGGTGCCATGGTGGATATGGCAGAGAAACAGACAAACTTGGCATGGGAAGGGTAGGTGGGGGAGGGGGAGGGGCAGCTGTTGGGGTGATTTGTATTATCAAGCTCAGCAGGATCTAGAATCTGCTAGAAGACAAATCTCCAGACACGCATGTGAGAGATTCTAGATTAGTTTAACAGAAGTGGGGGAGAGCCACCGGAAATGTTGGAGGGATCCTTAAGATCTGGCGTTCTATACAAAAGAGGAAGGCAGCCGAGTCTCAGCACTCAGCCCTGCTTCTGCAGGTGCTGTGCGGCCAATGACTTCACCCACCGATGACGATGTACCCCTCAGACTGCAAGCTGAAACAGATCCTTCCCTTTTCAAGCTTCTTCTGCTAGGAATCTTACCGAGGCAATGACAAAAATAACTAATACAGCTACGCATGGCCCAGATGGATGAAGATGCGGTCCAGGCCAGGCCAGATGACAATCCCTAAGCCACTCAGGAGAGCGACGAAAACCTGCTGGCTGCAAACAGGGCTGTGGACCTGTGATCACAGGGCTAGAAAGAGACAGAGCCTTGGCAATGAGACTAAATTTAGGGACCAAGTGAAACTAAGCCATGGCTGCTGAGGATTATGGGTACTACCATACCTGTCTTGCTATGCCAAAATAGAATGTGCCTTTTCTGGGTGCCGGGGCTCTCCAGAGTCCTTAGAAGCCAGCTCTGTGCTCAAGGGTGAGTACAAAGGAGACAGGGTAGATAATCCTTGATGTGCCTCTTGCTGCATCCTGCCAGGGACAGCTGACCCACAATGCCAGTGGTAGCAGGCAGGACAGACAGTTGAGGGTGTGTGTGTGTGTGTGTGTGTGTGTGTGTGTGTGTGGATACCTCTTTAGGCCCTTCCTAGTAGGTCAGAGTTTTCAAAGGGAGCTGTTGTCTGTCGGGAAGCCCAGGTGTCCCCCTCCACTCTATCTTCCAATCCCTTGATTTGGACAGATGGACACCAGATGGCCTCAGGATCAGTGGCCGCCAGCCAGGGCTGGACCTGGCTCTAAGTCAGGCTCCTGAGCTGACAGCCTCCTGGCTTCCCATCAGGCCTCAGTGATGCCCTCACTCAAAGTCCAGTGTCTCAGTGGGAGGGGGAGGAGGTCACTCTCGCTAGATCTTTGGTCAGGAAACCTGTGTGGGTGGTAGTGATCATCAGGGCAGGAGGCCACAGGAAACCAAGATCTGAGAGAGAACAGCTGAATGCTGGGCAAGCGCAGGGAGGCGATCTGCAGCACGAAGCTTGTGGCTACCGGCTGGGCAGACTGTATGGAAATGACCCCTGTAGGTGGCTGCTCAGCTGCCTATTCCTGTGAGGATGTAGGCAGCTTATGAGGCCCCTGATTTGGGCTGTCCTGATGCTAACCCTGACTGAACAGGCTTCTTAGACTTAGGGACAAATCTGGAAGTGACAGGTCAGCTGCGAGGACATGTGAGATGTCTCATGTCACTTAGCACATGGCTTCTACTTCCACCTGGGCAACACTCAAGCATGGAAGGAACCTCTTCTTCTTCCTCCTCTTCCTCCTCCTCTTTCTAGTCCTCCTCACCCTCCTCTTCCTCCTGCTCCTCGTCTTCTTCTTCCTCCTCCTCCTCCCCCTCCTCTTCTTCCTCTTCCCCCTCTTCTTCTTCTTCCTCCTTTTCCTTAAGGGAGGTGGAAGGTGGGGCAGCAGCTCTGAACATAGCATCCTCCACAGTCCTTGAGGTGAGGCAGGAGGCCTGGACCACTCTCGAGCACACCTGTCCCTTAGAATAACCTCAGGAGGCTCGTGTCCAATAAGGCTGTGGGAAGTCACTGCCTACCTCCCTGGAAGGCATCTTTCACTGCAAAGGAGGCTGCATGGAAAGGGAGTTTTAGAGGCTCACTACAAAAAGTCACCATACTATAAGCTGGCCTCTGACAGAAGCAGGATACCTCCCCAGAGCTGGAGAACAAGTCGGACCCTAAAAGCCCACCGTGGGCCAAGCTCATCACAGCCGGAACTAGGAGGAGCTGAGGCTTCGGTGGAGTCGGTGAAGTTCTTGCTGGGTAAGCTAGAAGGCCGGGTTTCCATCCCCACATTACGTAAGACTGGGCCTGGTGGTGCGCACCTAAGCGGTCCCCACTTATAGGGGATACCTAGGCCTCCTAATGGACGACAGTTCCCTTTGAAAACCCTGAGCTGGTGGGTGGGCTGGAGGATCAGAAGTTCAATGTCATCTTAGTCTGAGCCATGTAAGACCCTGACTCAAAAATCAACAATAAGCAACAGTGTGGTAGCTTGAATGAAATGGCCCCAACAGGCCCATGGGGAGTGAGTGACACTTTTAGGAGATGTGGCCTTGTTGGAGTGGGTGTGGCCTTGTCGAAGTGGGGGGTGGCCCTGTTGGAGGAAGTGTGTCACTGGAGTGTGGGGGTGTGGGCTCCGAGGTTGCAGAAGAAGCTCAAGTCAAGCCCAGTCTCTCTCTTCCTGCTGCCTGCTCATCCATATGTAGACCTGTCAGCTCCTTCTCCAGCACCAAGTCTGCCTGTGTGCTGCCATGCTTCCCACCATGATGGTAATGGACTGAACCTCTGAACTGTAAGCCAGCCCCAGTGAAATGTTTTCCTTTATAAGAGTTGAGATGGGGGGGCTGGAGAGATGGCTTGGTGGTTAAGAGCACTCACTGCTCTTCCAGATGTCCTGAGTTCAATTCCCAGCAACCACATGGTGGCTCACAACCATCTGTAACAGAATCTGATGCCCTCTTCTGGTATGTCTGAAGACAGCTACAGTATACTCACATACATAAAATAAATAAATCTTTAAAAAAAAAAAAGTTGAGATGGTTATAGTGTCTCTTCACAGGATTTCATCAAAATCCTGACCAGGACAAATGACAACAGAATCCCAAAGAACCAAACAAGGCTAGAGCTGGTCCCATGCCAACATATCTCATCAAGTGTTTTCAAGGGCAGAAGCAACAGATTAATGTCAACGGAAGTTAACAATCTAACCCCCCCCCAAAAGCTTAACTTCTCTAAACTGACCCACTCAGCGAGGCCCAACACACAGAGCCTTGTGGGTGCAAATGCCACTGTTGGGTCCCCACAGTGCCCTTGAGCTCACTATATAGCCCAGGGTTTCCTCACACTCTTGGTATCCCCCTCTTGTAAGTACTGGGATCGTAAGTGTGTCCCACCACACCCAGCTCTAGAAATGACACTCAGTGTCTGGGCGTGGTGGCACACATCCGTGTTCACAATCCTAACGCTCAAGAAGGTCAGGCCAGTCCGGACTTCAGAACGTGATCCTGTTTCCAAAACCTAAAAATAAGCCCCACTCTCTTCTCACAGGCTCTGAAATCCCACCACTAAGAAGCAGGTCTCAGCCCTTGACGATTTGTAAGGCACTGTGCTTCCAGATACACTGTGACCCAACAGTTCTGCTTCACGGAAAGGAGGGTGTGTGTCCCTCTACAAGGTCCACATACACTTAGATCCACAGTCACTGAGCCCAGCAGCAGTCAACAAACACTGAAAACAGTTCAGGTGTCCATCAAAAACACACACCGTGTGCAATAGTCATATGACGCCATGCTACACGGGTACCAGACGGCGACGGCAGCTACATATGATGTGGGTAAACCTAACGGGAGAATGATGCGGCCACGGAGTAGTCACGACAGGTTGAGTGTATATACAGTGCAGTCAGAGATGACCAACCGTCATCTGGAGACGCAGCAGTGCCTAGGGTGGTCCAGGCAGGGTACGCGCTGACCGGGCTCATGGACTGGGTATGCACTACCACGCTCAGCTTCGGGATGAAGTGTTCCGTTAACGCTGAGGGCTGTGGGGATGGCTCAGAAGTAAAGATATTTGTTGTCAAGCATGAGGACTTGAGACTGGAGCCCACTTCGTATATAAAAGGCTGTGTAGACTCTCTCTGCTCTCCCCCACTCTACCAGTCTCTCTCTCATAACCCCCCCACCTCTGTAACACCAAAACAATGGAGGGGAGACAAGAAGGAGGCTTGTTGGCCCCCAGTCTACCTCCAAGCACAGTGAGAGACCCTGTCTGAAGGAAATAGGGCTAAGTGTGACAGAGCCTGACACCTGATGTCTTCTTCTGTCTTCTGTGTATAAATAATAGGCATGTGCATCTGCACACACGTATGTGTATGCAACACACACACACACACTCTTTTTTTTTTTTCAAGAAGAGGTTCTCTCTCCTGTATTTTTTTTTTTTTAAAGATTTCTTTATTTACTTTATGGATATGAGTACACCATTGCTTTCTCCAGACACACCAGAAAAGGGCATCAGACTCCATTACAGATGGTTGTGAGCCACCATGTGGTTGCTGGGAACTGAACTCAGGACCTCTGCAAGAGCAGTCAGTGCTCTTAACCACTGAGCCATCTCTCCAGCCCAACACACACTCTTTTTAAAAATAAAAGTGACTGACTCAGCTGAAGAGTTAAGAGTGGACATGTTCCAGTAAGTCATTATGAATAGATATATAGTTCATATTTTTGTTTGTTTATCTTATGTGTGGAGTCACACACATGCCATGGCTCTAGTGTTGGGGTCAGTGGACAGCTTTAGGGAGACAATTCTCCTTATGCAACATGGGTCCTGGGTATTGAGTTCAGACTTGGCAGTAAGTGCCTTTACCCTCTGAGCCATTTCACCAGCCCCCGAGTTTATTTTCAACAATGACCTATGCTGCCAAACTAATGGTGCATCTCCCCTCACTCCCAGGAGGGTCTCCTCTGTGTTCACCCCAAGCAGAAGGAACCATTGACTCTATGAGGTGTCTCCACTCAGGAGGGAAATGAGACACAAGGATTGCCTTTCCGTCTCTGCAAACCTGCTCCACCAG